TACATTCGCTGTGCACTCACTCTATTTTCCAGTATACAAACACCCTTTGCGCACATGTACACTGAACCTGTTCGCCATCCGTTTGTCCATTTCTTATGCACACACACACACACACATTGCTGGCACACGATGCTCCCATTACCGTCAGCCGCGAATGGCTATGGTGTCCGATGGCTCAAGATATATGACAGCATTCTTCTGCGATGTCATTAGGCCTGTTTGCGAGGATTCAGCTCACATTGCATGTGTTGCCAGTTGCATCAATTTGATTGCAGAGACTCATGGCAAATTCTCTCCAGAAGTCAACGAATTCGTTGCAAACATGAAGAGTGCTTTTCGTCTATGGGGAAGGAAGAGGCTTGTCTACGTTGATGGTGGGGATAACCCGACCGGTCCACATGCACCGGTCATCATTCGATTGAACAGCAGGCTTGAAAATCTCCACACATCACAGCAAATCTTTCTATCGTTACACAGCCACACTGCAAGTTGTACAGCATGCGTTCGGGGAATTAGCTGGTGTTTGTGAACTTGGGAATATTCTTACCAACAAACAACAAGCAAAGTTTTGTGATGATAATCGAGTTACATCACGACCATTGGCAATAACATCATTCGTCACTTGAAAACAGTCGGATAACAGTCCGCAGTAACCCATAATATTTACAGCGACCTGTGCGATCTATCGAATCCGCTGGAATCGGCTGTTGAGGGAAATTGGATGAAGCATCTGGAGGCAGAGGAACTGATTTTTATACGTCAAGCAAAATCCATACTCATTTACAACTTTGCTTCTCCCGATCTGTAATAAAAATCCAGGAGTTGCTGATAGCACAGGCTAGCTGACCGTTTTTGAAAGCCATCAGAGTGCTCTACCTCAACCAGCTCATCACTTTGTGCAATGATCCAGGCAGCTATATCGACGTTGTAAGCTTAGCTATCGAAAATTGGTGGATAAACCTCACAGAGAAAATGTGAAGACACGCTGGCCTTCTTGTGAGGGATGCATGAAAGAACTACACAACTGAAAGACATCGCTGGTCGTTATTTATACATTCCTGTGAAATCGCTATACGCTAAACGCAGATTCAATGTCTACAAATTCTTGTGCCTGACAAACGCCACAACATTTTAGACGACAGCGAGAAGCACCATGTTGGGCTTTATTTTAATCCCTCTGTTTTGAAGCATTACTGACACGTATATAGTATATGATGGTGGCTTGCTTTCTGCTTCTTTTAGTCTTCGAGGAGAAATCACAGAATTTCTTGTTTGCACTGCGGAATTCGCGTTTTCAGTCGCGGATAAAATGTTGCACCACCGCAGACACACCAATGCTTGGCACACTGCACACTGGTTCACATCTAGGCACTACTGAAAACATCATTAGTAAAATCGTTGGTCAAGTCTCTGACTTATGTTCTCTACTCAAGCAGGACTTGCTGCAATCCCTACCTGTGTATTGAAAAGCCGTGGGAGCGGCTTTTTCCTGCTTTTGGTTAACATATTAGTCACTTCTAACAATAGGGTATCTACGGTATATTGGAAATCTCTATCGTTTTCCAATCTTGAGGTTAAATATTTCTACAAAACCAATCACTATCACAACTAGAATAATGGAAACGAGAATTAAAGTCGAACTACTTGGCACTATGAATAAAGAAAGCATCACCAGCAAGCTTTAACAAATATTTTGCAAGGTCTATCGTGCGCAGTTTGCCAGACGAACTTCTTGAACCACATGACGGTTGCAGCAGACAACGAAAGCAATGTACTAAACTTGCTCTTGAACATGTGAAGTCTTTATTAGAGTACGTCATCCGAAACTACCGTATATTACCGAATATAAGCCGATAAGTTTTTGATAGCCTTTCATTTCTGTAGGGGTCGACTTTGAAAATTTTATGAGTAATTTGTAGGAAGTCACATGCGCAATCCATCCAAGAATTTACTATACATATCTGCCCATTTCTCCCCCTAGCACCACCCGATAGTAATGCACGGTACCACATATCAAATCGCCATGGTCACCAAACCTGACCAATGGCAGAGCAGTTGTTTCTTGAACAAACTCGTAAGAACGCTACAATCGTGGAGCAACATTTTCGTCTCTTTGCTTATTTTTGGTGGTCGACCTTGGAGAAATTTGATATCGCAAACTCGTCTTATCTATTGACAGGATTATATTCAATAATAAAAGGTATTCACCATGTTGAAGGCAATACGTACTGGAGTGCCGATGATTTCATGAATATTCGCACTTCTCGTTGTTATGCATTAGGTGGTACAGATTGGTAAGTTCATCGTTAGAGCGGAAACAATCATCAGCTGAGTAATTAAAGGGGGTTCACTTGAACCACTTCTTTTTTCCCTTCTGTGCAACTCATTGATCCCAGGAAACAAGACATTGTGTTGCTATTATGTTTGCTGCTGACAATAAAGTTGTCGAATCACAATGAAATGCCAATGCCCCGAAGACCGTAAATCTCAACCAGGATGACTTAGCTGCACTTGAACTCTGGTGACAACTGCTGAACATGTCATTTGCCATAGACAAGTGTGAAATTCAGTCATGCAAATGTTATGCAGCGCCAGACAGACTATTACTACAAGGTACATACATCGCGAAATGCAGTACAGTTGGCTAATGGGGAGTACGATATCCTGCTAACTTTGACTTTTCTGAACATTTAACTGTTCAGTTTCGAAGGCCATGAAGACAATCGTTTAACTTTGTCGTAAGTTTTATCTCACCGAATCTCAAACCTAGCTCCCCAAAATACATGTATTGTCGATGATATAACACTGTTCATTAGACCGATTGAAGCAAAAAACGTCTGGCCAGCAGCTGATGATAGCGTTCAGCGCGGCTTCCTCAAAAAGCTGTGCCATTTGTCCTCAAAGTTCGCGCGCAGAGAACGTTGCGTTGAGCTTGGACTTCATCTAGCTTGGCTTCGGAGAATGAGACTGAACCTGTGCTTTCTTTCCAGGATTAGAAACCACGGTGCTGACCATAGTGCTAACATGTGTCTTAATCAGAAAGATGAGTTAGCGAACAGGCTTTTAATCAAGCTAAGACACCCCAGCTGGTAAGAATAAAGTGCGCGAAATACGTCAGCTAATGGCAAAGTTGAAACGTCTAGGTTATCTGAATGACAGTGCTAGGTGTTTGGTTCAGAAGCGGTCAAGGACATGTGCGCAGCATGTTACGCAACATGGGTCATTGTGGTGAGAGGTCAAAGTAGGCCAAGAAACTGTGCGAATCTCTCTTGCCCACACAAATCTGGGTTCTGGAGTCGGATAGCAATCGCTTCAGACGTAACTACTAAGCGATGTCTTACCGCTCCTTTGTGGCGTCCAGGCACGCGGTAAATGGGCTGGAAAGATTGGCAGATATCTGTTTGGTGATTAGAAGCAACAAAATGTGCCAGCAAGGCGTTCGTCCCTGTTTTCGTCACACCATTACACAACCAAGCCGGGCAATGCACACGATTTCTCTCAGCCAGTCTCCTGGTTGCTCTTCCAATACACCTTACTCGACGTGAACAATTAAAGGAATGCACACAGAAAGAAGCACTCGATCCAGGTAGTCTGTCTTTCATTTGATGTATCGCGATTGGCGTTGAAGTAAAGCTTAGCCGTAGTCTTGCAGCATAGTAGGCATGGTCAATGCGTCTGATAGGCTTCGGGACTTTGCTTGTGCTATTCCATCCTCTTTGAACGATAAAGGGAGGTAAAACAGTTGCTTCCCTATTGAACGTGTTTTAACTTTCGTATCACGACACTTTATTTCTCCGAACAAAAATTTCTCGAATGACCACTCAAGAATTTCGGCTCCTTCAGAATCTTCCTACAAATGTCGGTTAAACACGTAAGTAACTTCCGCTTCTGATATAGTGGTGCAAAGCAGGCAATGTGCATTTGGTATCCATTCCAGGTTGCTTTACATTGCACCCTCTTCTGAATCAAACACCTAGTTTTGCCATGCAGACAACCTAGACCTTTGAACTTTTGTCTGATGTATTCCACCATACTTTTTTCGCATCATGTGTGGTGTATAAGCCTGATGAGATTCACCAAAAACAAGCCTGTTTGCTAACTCTCGTTTCTGAGGTCTACGCCTGGAATATGTCAGAATACTAGTTACTCGTTTGACAACAATAAGGGAAACGTCACGATTCCGAGGTTTGCCAATGGAAGCGGAAATCGTTTCGTTTTAATCCACTGCTCTAAGACACGAAACAGGTTTCCAATAGATTCCGGAACATACTGTACAGTAAGTAAACGCAAATTTGTTGCTTATAGATACTTCATAATTCGAAATCCAGCTAATTTGTTTGCCAAAGCATAATCCTTGGATAACGCTCTTGATAAGGATATATTTGACGCCTGACAAAAATACAGACAGTACATAAATCCACGTCCATTGATGACCCACAAACTCACATTTTAGACTCTAGCTGTCCTCGCTACATTTCCCTCCCGGCCCGTAGATCTGTCGTATGCTTGTGAAGGAAGTTGGTGCATCAATAGGCTGCAAATCCACTAAACACTTCCGGTCAAAGTGTGTCACTCATACGAACGCAAAATATGTGCTCAGCTATTTCAATTAATTGTGTGTTAGTATAAAATGATTGCAACCTTTTTCAATCTGTCCCTTCTAGGAAATAGCCTTTTGCATTCTAGAGCAATATATAATGGATGTAGTTGTTCAACAGGATATACACTGTTCCGCAACCAATGTACTAATCAAGTACATAAGCAACTGACTTGTGGGTATCAACAACCGTAGTCCTGTTACATTGCAAGAACTTTTCAGTGAGGCGCCTATTCATTTCACATGGAGGGTCATAATGTGATTGATGAGAATGCTTGAAATGACCGAGTGATCTCACGCCTTGCGTCTGATTTTCCTATTTGGAGTTATCATAGTAATTATTTTATTCAAATGCATTTGAAATAAAACTTTGCGTTGACAACTAGTTCATTGCGAAACCAACCCTTTCGATATGCTTCGTGAGAGCAGTCTAGAACGGCAGAGCTCGCTTCATCCACATAGATGGGCGTTCTTTCCTGTTGACGGTCCAGACACTCGTCATCCAAGGACTCTTCATTTTCGTCGTTCATGACAGCCTTCCTACTTTGGCGACGTGTGAGGTTTAGTTTCCAGTTAATCCAAATGTAACCTTCGACCAAAGTAGCAACCATTGTTAATACTAATGGCACAAGTCCGGTAACTCTGGAAGGTAGTCGAAGGTAGAAAGGACACAGCGAATTAGTACAAAGCACTGAGACCATGGCTGAAATAGTGTTCGTTCTAGAAAGTAGAAACTGTGCTAACGTATTGGTAATTAGCCTGGTGATAGTTTTATGGTTAAACAGATACACAGCTAGGTACTCAGAGTGCATCTTCTATGCCCAACAGATACGACAACAGTTCATAGTGCACCTACGTCCAACGTACTAACAACCGTTGACCGATCTTCCTATCTGGACAATACATAATAGGCGGGTCGAAATCCTGGCCGAAACACTCAGTGACCCTCAACTGGCATCAAATTAGTCAACCATCACGAATTTTCTCTGGAGGTCACCAGAAATTCTTCGATAATGCTATCAAGCTAGTGAGTAAGTGTTCTTTGGGGTGCACTCATCAAAAGTTCTCAGCCCCAAGCCGTTGATGCGCCTACAGCTAATAGAACCCGTACCACGATTTCCAACAGCTGACAGAGATAACTGCCGAGTACCCTCCAGTCAAAGTAAAGGAACTGATATTGGACATGCCATAAATGTTGCACTTACATTCTCCCCATCCGTATTACATACATACCGTAAACGGCTGAAACAAGGCACACGTTTTCCGCTATCACTGCTTAGCCTTCCAGCAGGTCGTGAACTTCGCTTCACTGTTACATGGTCCCAAGAAGCTTGTGGATGACTACCATTCACTTGATGACCATAACTTTCCAACTGTCATTACAACGCTGAATGGCTGTCAAATCAATACATCCGTGTTCCGGAAGCCGCTTTAATGAGCTCAGTGTTTATAACTAAACTAACCTGGCTCTCTCATGCAGTCAACTCTTAGCAACTGAAACAAGAATGTTAAAGCTGCCGCCGTTACCCCATTTGGTTTATCTGCATAAAGTGTCATCTCAAGAATAAAACACAGAAGTCTTATGATCTCATCGGTTAGGTTTTATGTGGTCCGGTAAAGAAATTCTGCCAACCATCTACGCTCGATTGCCGTCTCCAATGGACACAAGCAACTGACTGAGGTATTTGATTCAGAAACCGGCCGGTAGATTCGAAGAATCACGTTAATCAGAAAGCTTGCTCAGTTTACGACGTCAGAAGGACACGTTTCATTTGTGAAAAGCTCCATAGCCAACGCTTGCACTCATGTCTAAACATTTTACTCTGACACAGGCATTGCCACTGACAAGGCAGTCATCGTTACCTAAGACACATAGGTATTGATGCTGAGCCATTTCGTATGTGTTTCCCAACGGCCATATTGCTAGTCAGACAGAGGCCACCTTAGCAACAGAAAGCAAGACACCCTCCGCTTTATTGTTGCACATAAACACTGTTCGACAGGCAGCACAGTCTGTTCCCATCAGGCTTAATGGTATCCGTTAAGCCCAACCGTATGGTTCGTCCGGTTCAGCCGCATTCGAGGTTTTCGGATTGAACGACTACCTACCATGTCAATGTGCGGAAGTACGAGTGCAAATGAGAAGCGCAGTAGGCGCGGAAAATTTCATTGAACATCCTTCCAATTGTTCTCAGTGATCCCATCTCCAAACTTATCAACGCAAAAGGCAGTAAAGCGTTTTCAAGACGCTAAATAGCACCATAAGTCTGCTTAATCGCACTGTTTCACTGCCAAGCACGCGTTTTTTCATAGTGGCTTAAAAGATGCCGCTGAGAGTGATCCCAATATAAGACCGACACAGATGGTCTTATACGACGGCACGGATAGTTGGAATCATCAATGCGGTCGTGTACTACTTTCGTTTGCGTACTTCTAACGGTCGGTTACCTCACCTACCAAGTCATCTATATTCTCGAAATACCGTTTCTTAAGCACAGGTTTCCACATAGACAGTATTGACGGCAAACCTCTGCAATGGACGGCATCATGTTTAATCGTGTAGCATACCAGAGTTAAAAGTCGACCATGGTGTTCACGACGCACTCTTTCGGATGTCATCATTGAGCGCCAGCATGTCACTTTTCACAACCTATCGCTGAAGGGGTGAGTTTCCTAAAATAGCCCGTTCATTTGGCTAATGGTGTAACAAATTTTGGACGTAACTGTTTTGGTTGTCCCGTCTTTGGTTGCTTAACGTTTTGGAAACCGTAATTTCAAACTTCGAAGAACAAACGTGAAAACTGGGAGGACTTCTGGGGACAAGGGTGATTTGCTGTCATTCGTGACGAGGCGGGAAATAGTCATACTGTAGTGATTATACAAAGCTTCGAATTTCTTTCCGTGTTCTCGTTTCGCATCGTTGCTTTTGATTTCGTCGGGATTGTTCGACGGTATTGCTCGCTGTCTGGTGACCGAAATTGTTGCCAACTCGGATTGCGTTCCCTTCCGTGGCATACAGCTAGCTTCGACACTTGGATGCCTTAGAATTAACCAAAAGTTTAGTGAGCTTTTCATTAGTCTTTTGGTGTAGTCTTTTCCAGTGTATAATTGGCGAACCCAAACGTGACATCAGTAACGATTTTACAATAGCTACAACATTAAGGCTCAACGTCTCCAAACAGTGAAAAATGAAATATTGACCTTTTGCATTACCAAGCCGGTATTTTTGTAGTCCGACACTTTCAAACGGACAGTTTCCTTTGATGTATGCAGTCGGGAAATTTGTGAAAGGCCAGACTGGATTCGGAAGAGCGGATTTCATTTGGCGTGAACACTTCTGCTGACCAACGCACGGTGTGTAATTTCCGTGCACCACTACTCGTACGATAGTTCCAGTTCCACTGGCCTTGATCGAGTTTTAAAACAGGATACCTGTAAGTATCCGTAAAATATTTCCCTCTCTTCGTGTATGTTTTGGCTGCAGCTGAACCATAGTGTGCCCATTCCTAGTTTACCAAGTCAGAATTACCTCACGAGTTCAAATCATTCCATCAAGACACTGAAAACCGAGAACCAACATAGTCGCTGGAATGTCACGTGTGCTTAACAAGGTCACAGTTTCGTATCCACTGTATCGGTATTTGCGATTCGTCAGGGGGTATAGTTAGGGCCGTCTTATCAACATTTCGCCGTTTGGTGTCAACCAAAATTTTACATGTGAGTGATCTGTCTGTGAATTACACTATGCAGAGTTAGCGACACTTGGACGAAGCAGGTGCGTCCACGACTGTGATTCTTCTGTTCGCTACGTGGTTTCATACATTTGCCGTTGGGGTTTCCTATCCCTTTAATTACAGTCAGCGAGGATAATGAATCCATTCCATTTTTCTACTTCTACAGAATCACTGTTATCGTTGTCTTGTAATACGAGGAAAATATATCCGGTTCAAGGAATGCCGTGGCATATTGTTCAAGAATGGATTTATGTTTGCTTACCGCAACAAGCTTAATTAGGCGATAACTAGTCGGTTTTGCGTTGGGAATACACTTGAGGTAAGGAGCTAAACAGTGGTGTGAGACACATCATAACAATCAGAAGATACTGCATAATCTGATAGTTATTTGTAATTCGGTTGCACATTTTCATACCGACCTATTTACTAGAACAAATCTTATTCCGTTGCAGCCAAATCAATGTCTTCGTTCTAATGAACTCACAAGTTAAACTGTACACAGAGCACTCCTTTGACATTTGGTGTATTCATCAACCTATAACACCGGAACTCTATCAAATTTTTCTTATCATTCTCATTCTTATTCTGTAGAGCCGAAGAGCAATCGCAGCGTGACACTGTACACTTCGGTTACAAATATAAGGTTTCCGTAGTCGCACTTGCTTTCTGGGATACTATTGGGAACCCTACCGCATAGTAAACGCATTCACTTCGAACCCCAATATACCAACGGGCAATAAAAAGGTGTAAAATCGCTTAATATTTACGCTCGATTACTAGACCATATCACGTGAGGAAATGTCGGGAAAGTACGAACTAATCTTTATGCATAGAAACAGAGGAAATTGCAACATAACTTTTACACTGGAAACTTTCGTATGCCATTGAAAATGCGGTGTGGTTTCTGAAAAACAACACTTGTTCATCTTTTACGATATGTTCAACGTATGATAATGCGAAATTGTCAGTATTCGACGCTAACAACATGACACCTTTTGACAGTATCACAAATTTTACAAATTCGATTTCTTTTCGAACACTCGTATATATATATATATATATATATATATATATATATATATATACGAGGCGTGTACAAAACGAAATCGAATTTGTAAAAGATATATATATGTATATATGGTCTGGTTATTCAAAAGCGAATAATACATCTCTACTTAAAGAAACTAAGCATACATTGTATCTTATTACAGATTACTTACACAGCGACCCAGAACCAAGCATCCTTCGGTAATCCAGCGGGGCTTGAATGGCAGTAGGTGGCCATCTCATCTATCTTTACTGAGAAATGGGTGGCCACTAATTCAAGTTAAATGGTGGTAATCAAATTTACCTGTGGAGATAAACCGAGTGAAGTTTTGTGCATCACATGAGCGAGGAACGCATAAACCGATGCTAATTCCAGACGGCTGAGCAAATCATTAAGAAAACGAAAGATTACCATGTTAAGCGAACCAACTTTCTCAATCGGAAGCCGAATGAGCACGGAACAGTATTGGGAAGGTATACTGTCCCCAACAGTGTGTTGTCCTTCGGCTATACTCAAGCAGGCATCAAATCTGCCAACCCAGGTGTAGGCACCACTAAGCACCCCACCCGGTAAGTGGCCAGAGGCGTCTAACCCTGAAGGTGGTCAATGTGAAAAGGAAACTTCATCTGACAAACATCGAAATCCACTTATATTGCGATTCACTATATCTGATAAGATAGTAGTGATATCAATAAAGCATTGCTCGCTAGAATTTCCAAGTAGAGTGTGTAATATTGAGAAGATTCTCCAATCAATTTGATGCATCATTTGCAAACTGGAATCCAAAGTTCCAACGGTGCCGTCTCTGTGGACACTTTCATATATCTGAAGATTTTTCAGCGCTTGTTGATAAGAAAACGGTGGTAAATTATCCACATATTTTGATCTGGCCTCCAGAGAATTTTGCAAAGAAACAGTGCAAAGAAATAAATTAATAAATATTTTCATGTTGACAGATTTGTAGTCTCCGATCGACACGCAGCTGAAATGACTGAACAAGCATGGCATTCATTAGCAACCCACCCAGGAGTGGTTACAGAAACAAATAGGTGTAATCAGAAATAATACCTAGTCATTAGCGGAAAACACAGCCATAAATATATTAGCGTAGTGCCATGGCCTTAACATAAATGGTCTTGCTTCTAACACTGTGACACTAACTGTACTACTGAAGAAAAGCGAGACATGGTCTAGATCCAATAATCCATTTTTACTTATAATAAATGTGTCAACAATTAGCATACCAATACAATGCGAAAAGCGTATGTAGTTCATGCAAATATGCAATGCACAATCTATGGTAATATTTCCAAAATCCCTACCAGTACCAAGACACCGTTGAAATGCTACCGATTTATTTCTGCTTAAGATTTTGTAAAAATTATGTGACGCACTTTGATCACATAGTTATTCGGCAATGTTATTGCAGTTCGGAATTTGGTCAGCTCCGTACCTCCACATGATGCCGGTGTCGCTGCGGTACGGTCGCAATAGTTCTCCTACATTTGCCCAGACATCTTGTGAACCAGACAACGTAGTGGAACAGAGTTTCAAACAGTGGAACTAGACCCTTTCCTTCGATAGAAAGTTTAACTCAAAGACACACGTTACTGTTTTTCATAAGCCAAGCGATATATATATATATATATGCCGCATTCGATTTATTAACTGCCTACTTGTGTGTTGAGTCTCTTTATTTCAGTTGATGGGTTTGCTATTTTGTGTTAATGTTTACATTATTAACAAATTTAGGACTCTGTATGAATACGCTGTTATTTACTTACAAAGGTCACTTAAGCAGATCGCTCTTAAATTCGGTAACCTTTGGCGTTTCAAGAAATGTTAGAGACCTCTTTTTCCGACATCATGATTTTGTCGCGGATTGGCTAATTATCAATTTATTTCCTATGCAAATTCAGCAAAGAGTTAAGTCGGTTTATCCCTAAGCTTTATAAAACAGACGTAAGCGAAGCTTGTAGGTTGCCTGTTACATGCAAAGGTCATCAGCATGGGCGTGGTACCACCTCTGACCTTTCCGCCGAATTTGCTAATCGAGTGCGAATTGCTCGGCCAGCAAATACAAGCTGACGTTAATGTACTCGAGCTATTCCGTCAATTTGATAAACTCTTGGAACGGCCTTCACTCGCACTGGCTGAAACTCAGACGCAGAAGCGTGGCTGATCTTGATCTCCAAAATTAGCATGTTTCGGTTGCCAGTACATAGAGTTGACATATCCTGTAAATATACACTGTCTACCGAGTTCTGACCTATTGTATTCCTTTGGTTGGCTGGGTATGTGACTCAGCAGTCAGACGGTCGCAGTCTAACAGATGAAGTAAGTAGCAGCAGTGGCGAAAGGAATCACTAGAACCCAAAGATGACAAGTCAGTTTTGAACCATTTCAGGCTCTGTTGCAGCTTTAGCAAGCACAGTTGGAGAAAGCACAGTCCAGACTGATCGAAACGCTGACCAAGAATTTGTCACTACAAGCAGGCTCGGTGACAGGAACAGGTGCAAGTTGTCCCACAACAGAAACCTTGACCTAGGGAGTTTGCGAATTCCGTTCCGATTCCGAGGCCGGTATTACCTTTGAATCATGTTTCCATAAGTTCGAAGACTTGTTTTACGTTGATTTATCCTATGTCACAGAAAACCAGAGAGTTCGCCTCATGCTGCTGAAATTGGGTGCGGCCGAGCATGCAAAGTTCATACATTTCATCCTATCGAAGAACAGCACTGATTTAACATTTGATGAAGCGGTTGCTACTTTGTCGAAGATATTTGGAGAACAGTCCTCACTATTCAATCCACAATACAGATGCCTGACAATGACCAAACGAGACGATGAAGACTGGGTTACTTACACAAGTCGTGTAAATCGTGAGTGTAAACGGTCGCTGTTTCACGAGATGACAGATGTTCAGTAAAAGTGCAGTATTTATGTGTGTGGTCCTCAAACGACCAAAGATGTTGATGTCCGAACATGAATATTGAGCAGAATTGAAAAACTCTCGACGTCACACTGTAGGAACTGACGAACGAATGCCTAAGGTTGATGGACTTGTAGCATGACGCTGCTAGGATTCAACAGTCATCCACCCCGGAAAGCCGGAATATCATCTGCAGGGTCAGCCGATGTCTTCAAAAAGAATCGGTTCATATGCGGTCGGCACATTATAAACCCCATTCTGCTTGTTGGTTTTGCAGGGAATGACATTTCGCTCGAAACGGCCCATTCCAGAATCACATTTGCAATCGCTATAGTAAGGCAGGACACAAAACGCAGCGTTGTCTTGCGCAGCGACCAACAGTGAACGGAAAACGGCGTGGAATCCCGGGGAGTTTCCGATGTCACGACGAGACCAAAACGGTGACGGAGACTTTCAAGCTTAAAGGGCGTCAGCAGCTGTAAATTTACAATGTTGAAGTTCAATGGTAAAGAAGTTAGGCTGCAGCTGGATACTACGTCAGACATCACCATAATTTGTCGAGCCACTTGATGTATGCTGGGAAGACTACCGCTTGTCCACACAGACCACACAGCACGAAACGCATCCGGGGGTATCTGGAAAGTACTGGGAGAGTTGAACTGGCAGGTTTGTTTCCACGAGCAGCACGTTTGTGCAACCTGTTTTGTGACAGATCAGCCTGGATTGAAGTTGCCGGGTCTAGCTTGGATAGAGGAATTGAACTTACTTGACCAGTCAGTTAGCAGTATATGCCATAAATTACAAGTCGAGAAACCCGTACAGACGCCGAATAGTAACCTCGAACTTTATAGTCAAATTATAGAACCGAAGCGACGCCACGAGAGCTGGTTTCAGCTCGGTATTGGATGCTGCCAGGTAGCCAGAGCTGAGCTGAACTTCAAACTAGACGTCAGACCAAATTTTAGACCAAAACTTCCAGTGCCGTATGTAACGCAACCAACAGTCGAGTCTGAGTTAACTCGTCTGCAGGCGTGTGGATTAATCAAACACGTACATCATACAGAATGAGCGGCACCCCTCTTTGTGGTGAAAAGAGGAAAAGGCAAGGTAAGTATTTGTGCCGACTTTTAAACCGGTTTAAATTCCATTTTGGGGAATCACCAGTATCCTTTGCCTATCCCTGAATATTTGTTCACCAAGCTTGACGATGGTAAATTGTTTGCGAAACTCTGTGTAGCTGATGCGTCCTACAAGTTCCAATAGCCGAGATTTGCAGAATATTACTGCTGGTCAACATGCAGCTTGGACTTTGCCAATATAATTGCTTGTCATCCGGAATGAAGCCGCTCCCGCCATTTCCCCACAAATCAAGGATACACTGCTGAACGATATCCCTTGGGTCGAAGTATACTTGATTGATACATTGTTTATGTGACCTGACACGCTAGAGCAAGTGCTCGCATGTCTATAAGAAGCTGGTTTTTAGCTACGAGTGAAAACATGCAATTTTCTGATGGAGTGTCAAGTTTCTCGAGTGCATCATTGACAAACATGGCCGGCCTCCGGATCATGCTGATAGAGAGGCCGTCAAGTAGATGCTACCACCAAGGGATGTTACCAAACTTCCTTCCTTTCTCGGTCTTTTAAGCCATTATTGTGCCTTCCTGCCAAGTCTACATCAGATAAGAGGTCCTATGAATGAGTTGTTGATGAAAGGGAAAGAATGGCGATGGACAAAGCAGCTCAAAAATCCTTTGACACAGTTAAGACAGCAATCAGTTCTGATTTGCTCTTGACTCACTTTAACCCAAACTTGGTGATTGTTGTTCCTTCGGACGCCTCCAATTATGGGGTAGGTGCTGTTATTTCCACGTGTTTCCAGGAGGAGACGAGAAAGCCATTGCGCAAGCAGCACAGTTTCTATCAGTGGTGAAGAAAATTTACGGCCAGATTGAGAAGGAAGCGCTGGAGATTGTTTTCGTAGTGAAACGGTTTCATAAGATGCTATATGGTAGCCATTTCAAACTGATCACGGACCACAAACCTCTACTCACGATATTTAGATCAAAGAAGAGTATTGCTGTTTTCACAGGAACTCGGTTACATAGATGGGCAATCATACTGCTGCCTTACAATTTCAGTATGCCATACCGCTCTGCGCAACAACTCGGCCAAGCTGACGCTCTACCTCGCCTCAACAGTTCCCACTCGAAAGAAAAGGATGACTGCGTGATCGCTTCTGTCAAATTCGAGTCGGAACTTCAGCGGATCCTAGTGACAGTGTAAGGGAGTTTCCAGTAACTTCGGACACGCTTCGTGCAGACACGGTTCAAGACGAGACCTCGCTGAAATTGATGGGGTTTGTGCAGTCCAGTTGGTCTAATGTCAACAGTTTGACTGAGTTACGACTTTCTTCAATCAATGCGGATCTCTCTCGGTCATTGACAATTGTCTAATGTTTGAAGACCGAGTCGTGGTAGCAAGGAAGTTGCAGAAACGAATACTACAACAGTTTCATTCAGGACATCCTGGAACCAGCCGAATGAAGACACTGGCACGAAGTTTTGTGTATTGGACTCAAATGGATTCAGAAATCGAACAGTTTTGCCAAAGTTGTGAAACATGTCAGCAACCGGCAAATGCACCCCCACAATGTCCGTGGAAACCTTGACTCGAGTCGATGAAGCCCAGGCAAGGAGTCCACTTGGATTATGCGGGGCCAATCAACGGTCAATATTATTTGCTTTTGTTGCTTCCTACTCAAAGTGGACCGACGTGATTCCGATGCAAACTCCCACTGCCCAGCACACTATCAATGAGCTGGACAAACTGTTCTAGTATTATGGCACACCGGAGATGCTGGTTGCGGACAACGGAGCACAGTTTACATCAATACTGTTCCGGGAATTTTGCATGCAAAATGGAATCCAGCACAAGTTTTCGCTGTCGTACTATCCACAATCGAATGGGCAAGTCGAACGGTTTGTAGATACCATTACATGTGCTCTTAACAAAGCGGAAG